TATCGTAGGACCAATGTGCATAAATTTCTTTTTATACCCATTTTAGTTTGCGAAAAATAGAATTTTTTCACCCGCTTTCATCCCCTTCCTCTTGAAACAAGCAGATGAAAAAAGAAAAAATCTCATATACCACCCACCAAACAACATTATACATGCTTATAATTCAAACTTGAAACTTGTTTTTCTTTGTTACTAGAATGGCAGTACACTAATACATCTTAGTTATTTTCACACCAAATTTAAACATGGAAATGGTAGCTTAATCAAAATTATCCTTATAAGAAATTTTAAATTTATTCATTTTCTTTTCAGTTAGGCTAACTTATTATAACGTTAAAGTATTTTAATTCCTTTTTGTTGCAAGTTTCATAATCTCTTGCACATGCTTAGCATTCTGTTAACTAGAAATTGTCTGTAAAATACTATAGTCACTAAAAGATAGTATAATATTGGAAAATGACTTTAAGATAATATTTTTGTACAATTTTATATATTATTTAATAATTGACTTTTTTTCCTAAGTTAAAATATGTAATATTATATATATTTATTTAATAATATGTAAAAATTATATAAAATTTTTTTTTATATAATACTGTCCTATAACATACTACTGAGAGTAATATGTTGGAGTGATGGGAATGTACTCTGCCATTTAAAGGGGAAGATTAACAATAGCACAAAAATGTTTTGCAACCCATATTCTAGATACTAACCATTGTATTAAGAGGCAACTTCTCGATAGTAGGAAAGGGCTCTTCATCTAATACTTTATACTTTGCCGTGTAGTATAATATCATACTCTTAATATAACCTTTCTTATTTATTTATATTAACCTTTTAAATGCTGAGCACCTGTTGCCCTTGCAGGCTCTTTTTGGTGTCCCAAACAAGACGCAGCTTTAAACTGCGACAGCAATAGACAAAATCCCCAAAAAGCCTCAAAAGAAAATAGAAATCCCACTCAACTGCACTGCACTACGCCTTACAAAAACCTGCCCCACATCCTACCCAACAACCCAAGTACATCTCGAGCTTCCATCACCAGAGATCTGTCCGGAATACTTCCGTTGGATCCACGATGATCTTAGGCCATGGGCCTACACAGGAATTACTAGAGCCATGGTGGACAGGGCCCAAAAAACTGCAAATTTCAAATTGATTATAGTGAATGGAAGGGCGTACATGGAGAGATACAACAGGGCATTTCAAACAAGGGATGTTTTCACGCTGTGGGGGATCTTACAGTTGTTAAGGAAGTATCCCGGAAAGGTGCCTGACTTGGAACTCATGTTTGATTGTGTAGACTGGCCTGTCATCAAGTCAAGTGATTATGCTGGCCCCAATGCATCGGCACCACCTCCTTTGTTTCGATATTGTGCGGATGATGAGACACTGGATATTGTTTTTCCTGACTGGTCTTTTTGGGGATGGTAAGGCCTTTTATTTAAGCTATATATACACTACTTATAGCACCTGTGACATCGATCATGCATTTTCTAATGGCACATGTAGCCTATTTATGTAGGCCAGAGATTAATACAAAACCATGGGAGTCATTGTTAAATGACTTAGCTGAAGGCAATAATAGGACTGGATGGATGGAAAGAGAACCCTATGCTTATTGGAAAGGAAATCCTGCTGTTACCAAAACAAGACAGGACCTACTCAGATGTAATGTCTCAGACAAACAAGATTGGGGCGCACGTGTTTATGCCCAGTAACAATAATCCCGAAGCATTTCAATAATTCAATTTGTTAATATTAGTAATTGCTTCTAATTCTTGGAAATAACATTACGTTTAGGATTGGATTAGGGAATCAAAGCAAGGGTACAAGCAATCAGACATGGCAAGCCTATGTACCCAAAGGTTAAACATAATTGACCTTGTCATTTCTATTTGCATTTGTTAATGTTTGTTATCATTGGTCTGTCTTTAGATTTTGGAATGCAAAATTGATGCAGGTTCAAGATCCACATTGAAGGCTCTGCATGGTCTGTTAGTGAAAAATACATTCTTGCCTGTGATTCAGTGACCTTACTCATAAAACCCCGGTACTACGATTTTTTCACTAGAGGTTTGATGCCAGCGCACCATTATTGGCCTGTCAAGGATGTTGATAAGTGCAGATCGATCAAGCATGCAGTTGATTGGGGCAACAACAATACCCAAGACATAATCAATATTTGCAAGTTCAATACTGAATTTAATTTGCATAAACCTATCCTGTGTTACATGAACTTTTCGTTTTATCTCAACAATTTAATTTGTTAAACACTTCAAATTCTCTATTTATTTTATGGATCTAAGAAAAGAAAGTATAAAACAGCACATGTGTCAGAACATGGACATATTCAGCAAAATAAGCGTATATATCTTATCATGTATCTTACTAAAATTTGCTTGATCAGGCCCATGCCATTGGGAAGGCAGCCAGCGAATTTATTCACCGAGAGTTGAAGATGGACTATGTATATGACTACATGTTCCATCTCTTGAATGAGTATGCCAAGCTCTTGAGATTCTAGCCTGAGGTGCCTAAGAATGCAGTTGAACTTTGCTCGGAGAGCATGGCTTGTCCGGCCAAGGGATTAGTGAAGAAATTTATGATGGAATCCTTAGTGAAGAGTCCTTCAGACACAAACCCATCTAGGATGCCACCTCCTTATGATCCTGCATCTCTTCATACAATGCTCAGGACAAGGGAAGATTTAGTAAAACGAGTAAATGCATGGGAGAAAAAATTTTGGGAAAATCAACAACAAGAAAACAAATAGGGCTAAAGAGAGGATTGAACGCTTTAGTAGTTTGATGTTATGCAAATGAGTATTAAACAAGCATGCTTATTTTTCCTTTTATTCATATAGAACAAGGGTTTTTCAACCTCAAACATTGAAAGTCAACACTCTCCATAAACATGGAGACAAACCTAGAGTGCACAAACCAAAATTTCAAAAGACAAAAAAAAAAAAAAACACTTCACACAGTACCACAAGCATGCTAATTTGAAACATAATTTACTAACAGATGTTGCAATAGCAACCTACTCTCTATATATAACTCATTGATCATCTAGGCTGCCGCTAAACATCTTGAATTATGCCACTTTCAATATTATAACCATAAGGTTCCAGTCCTCAACATCATCTACCCATTGGAAACAAGCATATCTCTAGCTTTTCATAAAATCAAAGTTCCCAAAACTCCCCAAAATCCAGTTGCAAATCACGACATCAAGAAGATATAAAACCACATTTTTTCAAATGCATTTTCATTGTTGCCCTTGGAGTTGGTGATTGTTAGGGGCAGCAAACATCAGAGCATTTCTTTAGGAGTTAAGCTCCACAGAGTTGAGCACTACCAGCATAAATGGCTGGATCTTCAAGTGTTTGGAGCTAATTGCTTGTTGGAATTGGCCCTAACAAGTTGTTGTATGACAAGTTAAGGTGGCTTGACTTGGTTAAATTCAACATGCTGTTTGTGATCATTCTTGATAAGTAAGACTGTGGATTGAAGAAAAGCTAACACAAGAGAGAAAATTCAAAATCTAGTCAAAATTGAATCTTTGATGAGTCAAAATGAAAACACTAAGTCAACATTTTTGTTTCTTTCTTTTCCATTCCCTGTCCATTCCAATTCCTCTCCCTTCTAGCAGTCTCCCCTTTCTCCTATTCTCTCTACTTCTCTTATCGTGCTTGAATCACGTTTTCCCCAAACAATTAGATCTAAAAGAGACAGCAAAGTCATTGGGTTATGTAGATTAAGGCAAGTAGGTGGATAGTGGGTGATTGGAAAATGCTCGAAGGGAGATACTGTGCTGAGATTATGCCAAAATGGATGTTAAAGAGGTGACAATTTGTTTCATCACTGTCTTTGCAATTTTCTTTATTGTTTTGATTTTTCTTTGTTATTATTTCCCAAAATCAAATTGACAATGGTGGTGTTGGACACGAAGCATCGCGCACTCATCTGAGCATTCTTGACATGAAGAACTCTGACAAAGGAGTTCCACTTCATTTTCATTAGCATCACCTCCTTAAACCCAGGTTCTTTTTATTTTGAAGTTTTTTACTTATCTACTTTTTTTTTTATTTACTGTAGTCTTCTACTTTTTTCTTTTGATTCTAATTTTTTTCTTTGAAATTTGGTAATTTTTGTTGATCAAGTTATTTGATAGTTCTATGATACTTTCTATTAAAACTCGAAATCAAAGATGAAGTAGTTATTATCAATTTACAACTAAAGCAATGGTGTCATTGATGTTGGAGTTGTTTCCACTTCAACTTAGGCAACCTAATTAGGGCATTAGAGGTGAAAAAATGAGCGCAGCAGGGGAGGGGGAGGGTAGGATTCTAGCATTTTAATAATAATAATCACTAAAAGAAGGTGAAAATCCATATAATGCCATAAAAATATTGGCTTGAACTTGATCAGACCTATGTCTGGCTCACCTAAGGTTGAATTGGGAAAGTTGTACATGAATTGCTTAATCTATTTACCTATACTCTTTAACATGGTTGGGGAAGTTTTAATATTTTTATAATAGCGAATGAGTTATATAAAAGTATGTTTGGATGAACATGATGAATTTTGATTGAGAAGTGCCTTAGGAAGTTAATGTTTAGATGTTAATAGTATGAAAGAGTCAAGTTTTTGTGGTTGATTATTATGAGTTTTGTAGTTATTGAATTGCTTAATATATTTACCCATACTCTTTAATGTGATTAATGTATTCAATGTAGGTGATCATCCAAAACTATTTAAGGCACTCATTGCTACAAAGTATGATGGTGTGGATGGCAAACTGGTTGGGAATTTTGAGTTGGGAGTTTCAAACAAAGCCCTTGAATTTCTAAAGATGAACCCTATTGGAAAGGTATTTGTTTGAGACGAGATGTTGTAAAACAACAATCTTTAGTCATAATTCCATTGATTGTTATGGTGAGAATAATTCTCCCTCCCTCCCTCCCTCTAGCCCTTTGTCGTCCTTTGATGATTTCCTTCAAACTCATGAGATTTATTTGGTTTGTTACAATTACCAACTTGAAGGTCGACAATCCTTTATATGTTTCTACTCTAATTGATTATGTAAGACCTTTTATCATCTTAATATCTTTTGAATTCTTGCATTCAAGAGATGTCCGAGTAAATTTTGTTGTGTGTCACACAATCTTCATTATGGTATATTTTCTTCATTTTCTAGGCCCATTTTGAGTAGTGGATTAATTTTGCATCAATAGGGATTGATCCTAACATTTCAAAATGGTTTTATCCCAGTGAGGAAGAGGTGCCTAACATTTCTTCCTTGCTCATGTGAGTTGTTTTTATAGTTCTTGAAATTCTTTAATAAGCAATTTTCACATTCCCCTTTTTGATTGAAACATGCAGAACTTTTTTCAAATTCCAAATTTCTTTTTTTTTTTTTTTTTTGGTTTTGTAGGAAATGTTGGATATGGGATTTTCAACTTAGGTGGTTGGGATTTGTAAATTTGTTTTTTTTTTTATTTCTAATTTTGATTTTGCTATCATAGACCATAATGCTTGATGCATAATTGCTGTATGTGGTTAAAATTGTTTAATAAGTGAAGCCTTATTTGGACATTTAGAATGTTTTTCAACACAGATTAGGAAAGAAGACAATAAAGGAAACTTAGAGTTTGGCCATTGTTTGTGAAAAAGTATTGGGCATTTCTCTTCATGAAACTTATAATGGCTATTGATTCCAACTTATAAATTTATTAAGTTAGTTAATTGGAAAACTATCCTTACTTTCTAATTTGCCTAGGATAGTATTAATTTGACAAACTTCGAAAGTTATCATTGATATGGTTGAGTCTAAAGACATTATTGAACAAAATAATGATTGATGAAGAAAAGGGATATTATTGTTTCTTACATTTCATAATTAAAAAGCATATGATTTCAGAATGAAAGAATAATCTATATTTTTTTTATTTAAAACAGGAAGTTGATATCTTGATGAGTTGAAACTATATAATTATACGTTTTTTCTTCAAATTATGTACCTTACTTATATGCCAAATGGATATAAAAATTAGATTGATTTAAAACTTATTAGAGTTCAACTAAATTTACAATTCAAGACTCTAAAATTTATAATATACTAACATAACTCCATCTTAGTTGTTTTTGAATTGTTTTCTTTTCTTTGGACAAATAATGTTCAAAGTCATGTTTTTACTTTATTATTCAATCTAGCTTCAAAATCAAAATCTATTGTAGAGGTGTTGCATTAATTTCTATTCTTTTATGTCAATGATGACAAGGAGTGATAGATTAGTAAAATCAAATTTGGTGTGGGCAAAACATCTAAAGCTGTTTTGCTTTAAGATTTTGAGCTTAATTTGTTACATATTAAGCTTGAAATAATAAATAATAGAATTTATTTATGTTCACAAGATGATGTTGGAACCATGTACAATGTTTTGCTTTCACAATTAGGAACAATTCTTTTTAATTGGAAGATAGGGATAGCCAAATGCAATAAAACATTGAGATGGGAAGTTGATATGATATAATGGATTGATATAGGTATTTTTCTTCATCTTATTTCAAAATTTCTCTTTCTTAGCTATTAATGGTTATTAGAGCTTTAAGAAGAGTTGTAAATTCATATTTGCAAGGAATCAACATGTACTAGCTTTTCTTTTCTTTCTTTTTTTTTAATGAGAACTTGTACTAATTTTAAGTAGGCTTAATTCAACAATCTTGCCCTTTGAAGTCAAATATAAAATACTTGAACACTACTTCAAACTTATATAGTATCTCAGAGGGGGAGAGCATAAATTGACTTTTGGAATGGTCTTCAATTGATGACTGGAAAGATGGTGTTTGGAAAAGAGATAGGGCTTTTGAGGTATGCATATTTTCTTTTTGTGATTTTACAATTTTTTCACATTTTAGTTTAGGGTATGAGTCTTCTTCTTCCTCTTCACCAACATTGCCTTAACCAATTGGTTGGATGTTTTGAGTTTATTTCATTTTCTTTAAATTTCTTCAATGAATTGTATTTATCTTTTTGGCCCCTTCAATTTTCTTCTTCTTCTTCTTCTTCTTGCCCTTTAATACAAAAGGGGAAAATTATTTCTCATTTTCTAAATCTCTTTTCACCTTTTTAGTCCGTTTCAAAATTTTGAATTTAAGACTTTTGAAACTTAAAATCTCAAACTCTTCCATAAGTAGTACAGATGGGAATGGAAATGAAAATATGAAGTGACAGTTGTTTACTTTGGAATATTCTCTAAGTAGTAGGATTTGCCATACAATTTGGCTACACATGTATTATGTTATCATGTACATGATAAAGACCTACAATCTTGTCTCACAGGTTTCTTGTAGCTTTAGTTGCATAATTTTCTTAATATAATTCCTTTTGCAGGTTGAAAACATGTTAGTCAGTTCATAACTGCTGTGGTGGCATTTGCATCTTCATGAGTGTGAAGGATGAAGAAGACTCAGTGTTTGGTCACAAAAACACCACCTTTATATTTTGTTTTAGTATTACAAAATATACCAACATCATCTTCCAAATGAAAAAGATTATAATTATCTATATATTTTTCTCATTTATATATACTCTTTTTTAGTAGCTTTATCTGAAGGTCAACGTTATCCTTTTTGTTGGGAGAAAGGCAATGGTAAATACTAAGCCCACAACTGGAGGTATTAATCCTTATCCTTTTGCGGATATTCTTTTTATTCTTGAAGTTTGTTCAGGTTCTTTTGCATTGTGTGCTTCAACTTTTAGGCCTATTATATATCAAGAGTGCTAACATAAAATTAAAACAACAAATAATTAATTGTGTTTCATTTTCTATTGCAAAAATC